TACAACGCACGTTTCGTAAGTAAGTAATTTTGAGCTCTTCCGGAAAATTCATTTTGCAGTGCTTTGAATTTTTGCTTTTGCATTATTTTTCTGCACCATATCTACAGCGTTAGTTTTTTCTTGCACAGTAATTTTTCCCGCTCCGTTTAGTTGCGAGGTAAGCTTTTTGATACTTTTTGGTCTATTCCAGTTAACATATTAATTATAGGGGGCGGGGGGGGGGGGTATTGTTACGTTTTCCTGCATTTGCTTTCTCGTAGGTACCGATTCCGACGTGTCACTATCACCCGCTTGTGCATACCTTTTCGGCTGCTGGGAAAATTCTGTGAAAGCGAATTTGTTTGGGGAGGGGATTATAATCGCTTTCGTTATCTCTCTTAATGCTGTGTCGTCTTTGTTTAGGGTGGGCTTTATTTTTCTCACGGACAGTAGGTATATCATTTCAATGTTAAGACCAATTACAGATTTTTAGGACGTCCGCAGGTCGCACAATTAAGGACGTTTTCATTTCAGGATGTAGATAACTGTGTCTGCTGGAAAACCGTTGATCCCTACATGAAATAGTCGAATTTTATAAAAGGTAAAGTGTTGTTTGGAATCTTTTCTCTCTAGTGTGTTGCTAGTCACATTTGTAAGTAACGTATTAATCTTGGATACTTTTCGTAATTTTTTTGCATTAAGTTTACCGCACCGAATTTACCGCTTGTGATTTTTCTCGCACAGAAATTTCTACCGCTACGTGTATTTGCAGTGTAAACTTTTTGCTACCTTCTGTTCCATTAAATGTAAGTGAGGGATATTGTTTCGCTTTCCTGCATTTGATTTCCCGTAGCTACCGCTAATTAATTCGTGCCTCAATTTGATTGCTATTGGTAAAGTACCAGGTTAGATTTCGGTGTTTTCTGCGGTTGAAATGGAAGCGCCGCTCTTGGTTTTCCTGGTTGTACTGTAACTGTAAAATTGGTATATCAATCTTCAGTCGCATTTCAATTGAAATCCAGCAGCATCGATTGACTTGAGTTCAGCAAACAACTTATTACAATAAAAAGTTTCGATGTAATCCTTTGGATACACTAAAATAGAGAATTTAAGTGTAAAAACTGATATAAATAACTTAGCTCGTGACTGGTCTTATCAAAGAACGAACAGAGAATTAAAAAAAATCGTAATAGAAATGCAAATTTTCAATTCATCGCGTATTTAGTTGAAGTTTACTTAGCGTGTTGAATGTGATAACCGTTAACTATAAAACAAATAGCCTGTCACATTCTGTGCGCCTCGATATACAAGCCGTTCTGCTTTCCAGTTAACTGGAAAAGAACTAAAAAAAGAGCTTTAGTTGCTGAAGTTACAATTTTAATCTAAATATAATCGGATTTGGGGTACTGTAAATTAAATTTTAGTTTGCAATTACATATTCATATTTAGAGGGTACTAAACGCCCGCCGGCGAATGGACTTTGTTTACCAGATGTTTTAAGCTGCTTGTAGGGATTATGAATTTACATTCTTTTTGTGTCTGCGTTAATGTACTTTCAACTCAAATCAGAAAGACGAAATATCACTTCAAATATTTACCATCAAAGGTTCCTTTAACTCTCTCACTTTTGCTTCTTATGTTTGCCTATATTCATTTTAATTTCGATGCGACGATGTTATTACCATCTAACTACTTATACAAATATACATACCTACTCGTTGAGGAATTAAATTTATTAAGATCCCTATTTTCACCATGAGCAATCCTTGAGGTAATCAAAGCAGAATACTGGGAATTGAATTCAAAACGTTCCTTATCTAATAGTGTTTATGTAATAAAACGTTTGAACTACTATCTCCCCTTTTAAACACCCTTAAACACAAGCGGCCGTATTTAAATAATCCAACGATTCTCCAGTGTAATTGACCATTCTTTCATAGCTTGTTAAAGGACGCGACTATGCGTAGAAATATTTAAATACCAAATTAACTCGCGGTAAAAACAAACAAATAAAGTGATAATAACTTTGCGGTAATTTAAGTTTAGTCCGCAATATAAATACCGATGGTCAAATCGAAAAAATAGTACTACGGAATTAAACAAAGCGCTTATCGCTGAGTGGTAAACTAAATGCACCAATATTAAGAAGCGAATTTCACCATAAATCGGAAGTTTTCCATGTGTTAACAAACTTGCCTGCGTCTTGCTTCTTTGTGCTCGCGATTGATTTTTTAATGCCTGTGATTTGTTTTTGAATGAGGACTGAAGTTATTTTGGCGAAAATGGACGTTTGGCTAATTCTTCAGGATTTTACTTCTCCATCAACACTACGTGAATTTTATTTAGAGTAGGCGAGCGGTGCAGTACACCGAACTCAACCTGCAGGTGCTTATGACACACGATTGGGATATTCAAGGACGTTTTTCTTGCATCTTATTCGGGGTATTAGTGAATAAACACTACCGTTTGTAGTAATAAACGCGTTATTTAATACTTTAGATTCGTTTATTTAAAACAACTCATTTCATTGTTTACTGAGATAATTTTAATTATCTGGCAAGTAGGTATATTTTGAGTTTAGCTGGGAGAAAAGCGATTGTCTTCTAAGGACCACTGTAAACATTTGTTTAATGTTTTTTATTTAATCATAACAAACGTATTCAGTTTTAGATACGATCTTGTAAATTTCATGACATTTATAACTCCTTCCAAAGGAAGTAACAGGTTTGTTTCAACATTACGCTAACATTCAACTCTCCAAACCTACTCGAATATTTAAATTTCTGAATATTCTCCTAATAATAGCCAGTATTATTCCAAATGTTTAATAATTAATGAAATTATCACTGAAGGAAAAATCAACTGAATTCTTTCCTATCCTTAACCCCCTTATCTGAGCTAGCCCAGGAAAGAAGATTTTTAATGTATCGAACCAGACAATGAACCTAAGAATATTAGCGAACCCTTTGTAATTATCATTACAGTATGTTATAATTGCGGGTCCTTTTTGTACCTGCCTATGAACGCATCCGTGCACTGTCTGGTGCGTGATGTAACTGTCTGACATAGGCGTCCCGATATCTAGTAGCGAGTAACCGCGCTGATGTTATGCGAAAACAGAAAGTTTCCGTGTTTAATCCGCCGGAATTCGATGGAAGATGTAGTCTCCCACATATCGTTAATGCTGACATCTCTAGCCCGTTTGAATCGCATCTATCCCTCGCCTTTCTTGTAATCTTCAGAACAGAAAGGGAAAACGCCCATATTCCGAGGAGCTAAACCTTCTGCACTCCTATTTACATTCTGCGAAATCCTATTTCTAGCCCAATGTATACGTACCGGTTTATTTTAAACTCCAACGTGCGACCGCTTAAATTAAACATGGGTAACGTCTTTCACGACGAGAAACTTTTCCGTTTCGGCGCACTAAACAACAGTTGCTTCGTGAATAAGATTCACCTGAACTTTGAGCTTGAACACCGACCTACTTGATTTAAACGGAGAGAAGTGGACTTTGAACGGTGAGGAATGGACTTTGACCGGTGACCAACCGTTGGATTTTACACCAACCTTTGGGCTTTGAACAGTAAGGAATAGACTTTGACCGGTAACTATGCTTTGCACCTCACACTGACTTAATTTCAAAGATTATCACATCGTTAACGTTTAAGATTTCTATTTAGTTTTGAAAATCGTCGTCAGGAAGAGAGCAAGCTAACCTTGAAAACAAACTGTACGGACTTTGACCGGTAACCAACCTTTGAACGGTAGTTGTAGTATCATTATTGTATACCAGTCAGTCGTGTCGCTGTCGTGGCGTGTCTACAATTTTCTCGAAAATGAAAATCACTGGATGTAGGGGCACCTTCTTGTTTACGAAAATTAACTAATTCGATTCTCGTTTTAATAAAAACTGGCTCTTTTCGTAAAATTACGGTACTGCGGGAGTAATAATACTCGTATGAGCTGTTACTACATTTTCGCACATTCCATAATATCGCCGAAATTCTATCTATAGCACATATAAAATTCTCGTAGTAATTTGGAAACGTAATTTGGTCTAAGGGACTTCCTTTTTAGCGCATTTCCACAAACATTATAAAAATGTGCTATTGTGGCCACTTTGTCCGTCCGTCTGTCCGTCGGTCCGTCCGGGCATTCGTTTGGACGCTACTAGTTCTTTATCTTAAGAGCTATCGTTCTACTTTTTTCGCTATTTGGTGGGTTACGGTGTCGAGGCTTGCACCAAGGAAGGAATTTTGTCTACGTTTATTGTTAAAAAAGTTATTGTAAAAAAACCAAAAAACTATTTTTTACATGTTCCATAAGTTTACACTTTTGCCGTTTATTAACAACCCTAGAGATCGTTTATAATTTTATATTGCTATCTGTCGTCCGTCTGTTGGTCTGTCCGTCTGTTCCTTTGTTGTCTGTCTGTCCATCTATCTGACTGTGTGAACGATAACTTTGTTTAGAAATGTCCGATCGCTCTCACATCTCCGTTAGTTATGAACTGAATTGCATGAAATTCAATATGGGCATAGTTTTAGCCATATAATACACAGTGCCAAAAGTTGAGTCGAATCGATTCAAAATTCACGGTGCCCTTTTCGCATCTCGCAACCGAATTGCAAACTTTTTTATTTATAAAAGTATTTAAATGAAATTTGATACATAGGCGCTTGAAATAAAAGAAAATCTAGTGCCAGTTTCAAAATTAACGAAATTTTTCCTTTCTGATTTTGCAACATTTTTCCCACAATTTCCGTCATAAGAAAAATACTTCAGTCCAATACTAAACGAACTGCTAGAGACGCGTTATACCTACTTCGCATTTTCAAAAACTATTTTGGATCCATTATTTCGGTGGAAAGCTCCCGCATTTTTCGAGCGCCTCTTTAAGAGTGCAAAAACAAAATCGGAAACGGCTATCTAAAATCCTACGCAAAGCCCCCTCTTTCATGGACCTACTCTTCCTTAGAAGGGCAAGTGATCTAGTATTAGGGGGATGATTAGTCACGTTTCTAAATCCCTCAACACCTAATTTATTTCAATTTCAGTAATTCATGTTTGCGTTTCATTTCTTTTTTCGAATAATGTGCACCTCTTCGTGAAGATGTCGCACAACCATCTTGGATTACAGTTCAGACCCTGGAAACATTTGTAAACATTTTTATCGCACATTAGTCATATACTTTGAATCTTCGGATTTGTAAGTCGTCAAGGTTCTGATGCCCGTGACGAACATGATCGCGGCGATGGTTACCTTCTATGGGATATCTCGTGACAATCGCCCCAGAAATGCATATTGGCCTAGTAAATGGGACTCTTCGTAGAAGAACCTGTAAATTGCAAGTCAATCTTGGGTCTACATCCTACTCACCCTACAAGATCGGGTCTACGAAAATCTTCTAAAAGAAAAAAGTGAATCACTTAATCTACCGAGGCACAACTTACGGTTTTGAGGGAAGTACGCGACGACTCTCTGAAACAAACGGGGACAGTTAAATTTGATGGTGATGCGGAATACACACCAAAAGGGCCAGCAACGTTACACACAAAGTGAAGAATGCTCGGAACATGGTCGAATGAGGTAACTTACTATACTTTTTTACGCTTAATTGAGTATAGGCAGTAAAAGGTGTATCTTTATTACTACTCATTATCAATGAACAATTAAGTAGATATCTTTATTTCATTGTTACATGTGTTATATTACTAGCTCTACAGTGTTGTTATTTATTTCCCTTTCGCATTATTTATATACTCTAAATAAACCGTTTCTTCCAATTCCTCCGGTTTTCATCAGATTCCATACATTTTTCGAAATGCTCTTGAAATTTTTAATATTCTTCCAAATTTCTGAATTCTTTAAATTTTCATAATTGTTCCAATGCTTTAGTTTTTCCGAATTCATCCGATTCTGGCACCGCTCTTTCTGAAAATTCTGAAAATCGTTCCAATTCCAATTTTCATTGATTTAATCTCACTTCTCAGATTCTACGGAGTGTTCAGTTTGACAAAATTGATTTTTTTATTCTTGTTATTCATGTGATTCACGAGACTCCCCATAATTTTAATATTCTTTGAATGCTTTTGGTTTTTCAAAATTTTTCTGATTCCTAGGATTCTTGGAATTTTTCCGTTTCTTTACCCTATAAACAAATATCAGTATAGAATGGTCTATTTGACAGTTTGGCTTGTTTATGTGATTGTCACATTGAACTATATACTCGTAACTGGAAGGGAAACGAGCATATTATTAGTGAAGCCAGACGAGTGGTGGTATCTTTATCTCTCTCACAACAGTAACACTAAATTCATTGACATAATTTTTCTATTTCACTTAAATTCATACAGTCGTATTTTCTGCTTCTATCAGCCGTGCTAATAAACAAACTGGACGTGATGAGAGTGACTGAAATTAGAAATACTTATACCACCACCACATTCAGTCGCACGACTTCAACGGTATGCATCGAAACGTACAATTTTAACGAAAATGCCTGCGTTGTTATCGCTTTTACTTCCAGACATCCTTTCGTTCACGTTCTATGAAGCGGTATATGTGTAAATTTTTCTCTGTTGAACAAAATACAAAGAAAAAACGGAAGAATCACTGGGATTCCAAGGTTTCGAAGATTGTCAACTTTAAATATAGAGAACTGCAGGAGAGATTCAGATAAATTCTATAAACATTTTTAGTAGGTAGCCAAGGTAATTTTAATAGTCTGAATGGAATATCAGTCTGAAAATAATATGATTTGAAGAGTTTGGAAAAAAAGCTAAGAGATCAAGCAAACTTTTAAAAAAAGTTCAGGATCAGCATGAGATTTTTGGATAGTCAATACTCAAGAGGCTAAGGGAACTTAAGGTTTCAGTAAAGTCTTAAAGGAAGAGAGAAAAGGCAAAGGCATATTTCCCGAGAGAAAACATTTTAATAAATTTAAGGCAATTTTAGGACGTTTTTATTGCACATTTCAGAGGGATTTGCAGGAAAATTGTAAGACAATCTCAAGATTTTGGGGAAAATTTTCATGAGAATTTGGATATGACAATGACAAATTTTAGAACATTGTCAGAGAACTGAAGGCGCATTTTGTGTTAATGTGCATTTCAATTAATATAGTTTTATGGGATAACTTCAAGATCAATGGCTTATCACCAAGTAACTTTCAAGAAAAGTTGTAAATAGTTTCAAGTAAACATTTGATTTCAATGAACTAATTTTGAGGTAAGTTCTGAGCAAATTCATACAATTTTATAAGACTACTTAGGGAATTTGAAAAACAAAAGTTGCATAGATTTCCGGTTAAACTGGAAGTGATACCGGAAGTTTCAATATGCGATCAGATAGATCGTAATATTTGCCAAATTGTCCATATATAGCCAAATAAAAGAGATATTGAGGTGAAACTCTTATCTCAAACGCACTGTATAGCATCAGTAGAATTCCATTTCCTTTTCCATTTTCGAGGGACTTTCGAGACATCCAACGGTTATCAAAATTTGATCCATATTCCATTTGAGTCAAGGTAATCTAAGTAGTATCCATTTCACAGAGGAAACCGATTCAATTTTGTATGCGGCTACCGGCTTCAAGAAACATTATTTTAAGAAAAATATTGCCGCTTCCTTTAGAAAATGGAAACAGATGGCTTCGATGGAACATTTGACTTTTTGCACCAATCTAGTAAAGTTATCTTCGTGATCAATGCAAGGTTTGGTAGAAGAAAAGTTCGTCGGAATCACAAATCCAAGCAAACCGGCTTCAATTTCGCGAAATTGATACTGGAGATGCAAAGGAATAAAATGTTAATAGTAATTTTGCCCAATTTATTTACTAAGATCTTGTTGCAATTATAAATCTTTAAATTCATCGCCGTATGCCATGGTATACAACATTTTATTTATCGCACAATGCGCTGTCCCATGACGTGACTTAACTTTGGGAAACTTGTTTCAGCCGTTGCTGTTAGCGATCCAAAAAAACTTCTTTTGTTTCTCAGGTTTTGATTTAAAAAGGTCTCTTAGGTTCAAAATTGTCTATTCGCGTACACGAAAATAAACGGCCTTGCTGAGAATTGGGCTAACTTCCGTTTTAACATACAACTAAGCTTACAGGTAACACACTTTGTCACCAATTTAATTAACGTTTCTTAGCGCGAATGAAAAAATCGTAACCTCGTCTTTGTTCACAATTTTTTACTCAAAATAAAACTGGTAACACTTGATCGTTACTTGATACATTTTTACGAATGACAGTTTTAGTGCACCGTAACCGCTCGCGAAATTAGCTGCGAAATACTCGGCGTCTTGCGTTGTTATCGCTTTTACTTCCAGAGATACTTTCGTTCACGTTCGCTATGAAGCGGTATATGTGTCAATTTTCCTCTGTTGATCAAAATGCAAAGAAGAAACGGAAGAATCACTAGGATTCTAAGATTTTGAAGATTGCGAACTTTAAAAATAGAGATTCAGATAAATTCTATAAACATTTTTAGTAGGTTCTCAAGGTAATTTTAATGGACCTAATGGAATATCACTCTGCAAATAATAGGATTTGAAGAGTTTGGAAAAAAGCTAAGGGATCAAAAAAAACTTTTTAAAAAAGTGCAGGATCATCATGAGACTTTTGGATAGTCAATACTCAAGAGGCTAAGCGAACTTCTTAGAGAATCTCAAAATTTCTATAGCACAATTTCAATAAAGCCTTAAAGGAAGAGAGAGAAGGCAAATTTCCAGAGAGAACAATATATTGTAAAAATTTAAGACAAATTTTAGGGCGTTTTTATTGCACATTTCAGAGGGATTTCCAGGAAAATTGTACGACAATCTCAAGATTTTGTGGAAAATTTTCATGAGAATTTGAATAATAATGATTTCAATGAACTAATTTTGAGGTAAGTTCTGAGCAATTTCTAGACAATTTCAGGGAACTGTTAATACAATTTTATAAGACTACTTAGGCAATTGCATTTTTCATAACAATTTCTAGAAAATAAAAATAGTATAGGAACATCCTAGAAGACTTCTTGCGGAATTTCTGAGATGACCTTTCATGGAGCTGTATCAGATGTTCAGGTGTCAGGAGAACCTTAAAAATTACTACTTTTAAAGAAAATTAAGAGAATTTTAGAGCTATAGAGGATAGTTCATCGGCACAATTTTAGAGTATCCAAGATTATTTCAAGAAGCTTTTAGAGACCTTTAGGAGGGTGTTAGGCGAGTTTCAGATCAATTGCAGTCGAATTCAAGATAATTTGTGGGCGTGAAATAAGTTTCATGAGAAATCCAATACATTTCCGAAATAATTTATTAAAACCTTTTATGAAAATACCTTCTGCTCTTACACCTATGTACTTGTTCTTGTATAGGGTTTTCAAAATAATTCAAGATTAACAAATTTTATATGGAATGGATTTAGAAGTCTTTGTGTATCTTGCGTGATGTTTTTTGTACTTGCATGAGTACTTAGGCCATAGGGATGTCAAAAGTGACACTACCCCTATCACTTATGAATATTGCAAAACCAATAACTGAATCAACTAGCACTGCATGTTTGCTGCAGTATACCTATACGAGAAAATTGTAATTTATAGCCACTAAAAGCGTAAGTTGTAACTTTACAGAAATAAAGCAATTTATAGTTTGACGTCTGAAACTTGTATCCGTAGAATAAATTAAAATTTAAACTTTAATCGCGTTCTCCCGTAAGTTTTTCAGAGTGAAACAAAACTTTTTCAACAACAAATTGTGTAGCGTATATGATTTTAAATATTTACTTACAATTTAAGTTGAAAACTTCAATTGGGATCCTGGCGGAATTTTAGAAAATGCGCTATTTTTCGTTTTAGCTCTACAAATATGTATCAGAGGAAATTTTTATTTCGCTGTAAAATGTCTCAAAACAATATTGGGGTCCCGAAGGTACGGAATACAAGCATAAACGGTATACTTTTTGCTTCACGTGTATTGAAAAATGAAAAGCTAAGGGAAGGAGAAGACGGCAAAGCAGACAATATGCTGATAGCGTTACACATTGAATGGACACAGTTATACGTTCGCTAGACGTACTTGCTTAGTGCATGTCCTTTAATGTTTACTCAGACGAGATTGTATGCAATGACCTCAGAGCAAGTACTCTTTAGTGTGCAAATATGGGTTGTGTTTGCATTAAAAATTATACATGTACGTTACGTTATTTCGGTTTAATGTCGCACCATCTTGTTGACGCTTTTAGTCGTCAAACTTTGTTTTACTCCTCGCAATGCACTCCTCGCAGATTTTAATTTTACTAAATGTAGAACTTAACTCCCTACAACTACCATTCAGACTGGGATGTTCCATTATTCAAATTACAGTTTGAAACTGTACAAGTTGTGAGATTCTATACATTAGCAGACAAATTTATCTCTGTAAACGATGCGCATGCTAGAGCGCCATCTTGAGAAAATTACTCGAATTTAATCTCGGCTAAACTTATTTTCTATTGTAATTATCATTAAGAACAACACCTTCCGCTTTACTAACTGGCTCCAGTTAAACGATAGCGAACTTCTCGAAAAGCTCCCCAGAAACTCTCGGCAGGCCATTACGTCTAGTTTTAACAACTGCGAAAAATCGCTT